CGATGAAAAATATTGTTTTATGTTACTTATTTATTATTTTTTTACTGATTAAGCTAAATTCATTAAATCAGCACAAAAGTGTTAGTTTTAGGTATAAATAAGGATAAATTGATTATTCCTTGATGACCAAACTTCTCTTTTAAAATGGAAAAATGTTTTTTTAATTTAAATAAACATGGATGCATAAATACCTAATTTTATTTTAGTGATAAATTCTGTTTAAAGTAACAGATTATAGTTTAAAAATGTCTCTGGACTTTCGCTGGTTGATGATATTCTTTATTCGGACCCGGCTGGTTTTTAATTGGTTCCCTCTGCTGTAGATGCGTTATTCTGATGGTCGGTGATCCGCTCTGCAGCCTCAGGTCTTCGTTGAACCCCCTCCCTGTCCCAGACGATAAACGCCGTTCCCGCTGCTTGACGCTACGGCCGCGTTGGTTGTCCTCCATTCTTCCTTCCTCGTTCTTCCTTTAAGGCTAAAGATCGTTAGCTTGCTCTGATCAGGGAACCCGTTTGCTGCCGTCCCATCATGGCCTCTGGCAAAGCTGATTTTCCTGTGGCTTCATTTCAACAACCATTTCCTTCTAGCTGTTTATTTCAAAGAAACAAAATAAGTAGAAAGGAAACAGATTGTCCCACCTGAGCTGGAGACCCCTGCAGCTCCCCCAGAGGTTCCAGGGATCTGGATGTACTTTTTTCAAGCTGTCGGTGATGCCAGATGGCCATGACGTCTCTGTAAGCCTAAATACAGTTTAGACGATGAGAAGCAGGGAAGTTTGAAGGGTGTGAAAACTTCTAGAGGGCAGCAGTGAGCAGCTCTGATGCCCATCATTTCAGCTCTGCTCAGATCGGTTTGGGTTCAGGAACAGCAGAGAGATATTCAATCCTCCAAAGAGGAGCCATGTCTTTGGAGAGGGAGCATTTTCTGTGTTTCTATCCAAGTTGGAGCCAGTCCTGCTGGTTATTAAGCAGGAACATTCCCCAGGCATCCTGATACGCACAGGAGGTGTTTCGAAATGTGGGAAGGAAGCCTGGAAGTCTCCTGATACATAAACGTTCTGAGAACATGCAGCCAGCAGATAAACCAGGTCATCCCACTGACCTTTGAAACACACCCGGATCTGTGTCCTAATCTGAACCCGTCCTCCTTCTGTTTCAGATCGACAAGCAGCAGTTTGAGGAGACGATTCGGACGCTGAACAACCTTTACGCTGAGGCGGAGAAGCTGAGCAGCCAGTCGTTTATTGAAGGCTGTCTGGCGTGCCTCACGGCGTACACCGTCTTCCTGTGCATGGAGACTCACTACGAGAAGGTGGGATACGTTCAGCATCAAGGAAGATTTATCACAAACTAGATAATCTGCTGTTAAATAAACCAGAAATCCAACCAAAAAAAATAAATCTTTTACTGTAATTAACCTCATTACTAGAAAGGGTTCAGAGTCATTATCCACATCCACATGGACGGTGGATGGATGGATTTAGAAGCATTATGTCGCCTAAAAGAGTTTCACATATCCTTGAAATGAAAGGAAAACGGAGGAGGAGCAGAGTCTCTGACGTCTGTCCGTCTAAAGTTATCGTCATGGAGAAAACGTTGGACCTTCTAGAGAGTCGCTCCTTCTTCAGCGGTTAAACGGTTAAATCCGTCCGTTTCTCCGTAAACTGCTGTTACTGCTGCTTTGTTTACAGGCCAGAGACAACAAACAGGTTTCCCTTCTGCACTATGGAGGACCAACTCTGCCATATTTAAAAATAAATTCAGAAATAAATAAATATATAAGCATACGATTAATTGCCAACAAAAATACAATAAACAAATACATTTAAGTAGAAATTAAATTATACAGTGAGACATAAATGTATGTAACTGTTTAATTAGCTTCTTTATTTATTTGCCTTATTTATTTTTTGTCCTTTATAATCTTCAAATTTATTTTTTAATTACTTATATTTTTAAGTATTTATTTATGTGCATGTTAGGATATTTTTGTCTGTTTTATTCTTCCTTTGTATTTTTTTTAACCTTATTTATTTCTTCGCCGCTGTTTATTTCTGCCTCTCATATTTACATTTCTGCCTCATTATGCAAATGAGGAGGGGGCGTGTCCTAGAGAGTCAACTTCTGCTCATTGGTTGGCTTGGCGGTCCATCTTCTTAACTCACAGAGAAGTTAAATGTCCTCTTTTCTGTTGCTGTTGTTCAATAAAAGTACGTTTTAAGGTTATTTGAGGCGAGAACGTTATACTTTAAAGCGTCACCATATGGCCCATTCACAGATTTAATGCGTAATTTAAAAGAAAATGTTCCGAACTTGAGAGGACCGCGGCAACCAGCGGAGCTGCGAAGCTAACGGCAGCCCGTCTGCAGCGGCCCTCTGTAAAAAGGAAAGGCAGAAATGTACAAAAATATATATATATAAAGGACAAAAAAATAAATAAGGTAAATATTACAAAGGCAAGTAAATAAAGAAGCTAATTTAAACAGTTATATATTTATGTCTCAGTGTAAAATTTCATTTCTACTTACATTTATTTGTTTATTGTATTTTTGTTGGCAATTAATCGTATGCTTATATATTCTAGGGCTGCAACTAACAATTATTTTAAAAATCGATGAATCGGCCGATTATTTTTTCGATTAATCGATGAATCGGACAATAAATATTTTTTATGTTAACCTCTTTATTCCAAAATAAACATTTTAGACAGAACAAACAAGCACACAAGTACAGGTTGCCCATTAACTGTACTGGTGCAATATGAAAAATAAATGTTTGTGTTAAAACTAC